ACTACTGAGACCCCGGAGGCCGTGCGTCCCTTCCCAGTCACCAGGCCTGGAGGAGCAGCAGTCCCGGGGCAGAGAGCCTGGCCTGTCCCTGTCATCTGGGGCTGGGGCCCCGCCTTGACCTGCCGGGGTCCCTGCAGACGTGAACGAGTGCGAGGCCCAGCGCTGCAGCCAGGAGTGCGCCAACATCTACGGCTCTTACCAGTGCTACTGCCGCCAGGGCTACCAGCTGGCCGAGGATGGGCACACCTGCACAGGTGCGTCTGCTCCCGCCAGGGGCTCCTTCCAGAGAGGTGCCCCTTCCGCTTTGTACCAGGCACCCAGAGAGTCCTTCCCGGGCTGGGAGCACACGGGACACAGAGGGTTTAGCATCAGATCTGAGTTTGAGTCTCAGCCTTGCAGCTTGTAGGCTGTGCGACTTCTGGCAGACTCCCTTCCCACTCTGACCTCAGGCTCCTCCTCTGTACAACGGGAATGACGTCCTGACCCCGGGGCGTGAAGGACGATGCGAAGGTGTCCTGTGTGAGAGTGCCTGGGCCTGTGGCTGGCTCCCGGCTGGCCCTCAGCTGGTGGGAGCCATGACAGTGCAGCCCCGGGAAGCAAGCGTGGGGGCGGGTGTCCCTTTTGGCCGTGGGCAGTTCTCGCCCCCTCTCTGAGCTCTCTGGTCCTCGCGTGCAGAACAGGCCCCTGAGCCCTGTGGCTGTGGCAGGGCCGGGCCCGCTGTCAGTGGCTGGGCCCGTGGGTGGACGGGGCTCACCAGGGCGGTGCCTCTCTCCGACAGACCTCGATGAGTGCGCTCAGGGTGCCGGCGTCCTCTGCACCTTCCGCTGCCTCAACGTGCCGGGGAGCTACCAGTGTGCGTGCCCGGAGCAGGGCTACACCGTGACAGCCAACGGGAGGTCCTGCAAGGGTGAGCGAGGGGCCCCCGCCCTGCCAGGGCCTCGTGGACTCCGGGCAGGTACAGGAGAGCCCACGGCTGGCATGCTGGGAGCTCCAACGCCAAGTGCGTGAGCACAGGGCGGCCGGGGCCCCCAGTGGCCACGCTGGCTGAGGTCTGTGCCTGGAAGGAAGAGGGTGACAGTCCAGTCTTGCTGCTTCTCAGTTTGGCTTGGAGTCTTCCAGGCTTGGCCTCACTGTGGACCGTACCCTGGCGGTGGGACGAGGACACTGTGGGTGGTTCTGAGGAGGCAGGAGACCCATCCGATGCGGTCCTGAAAGTGAGGGGCCTCGGGGTCCCCGTCTCTGCAGTGTTTTGCGGAGCAAAGGGAGCAGGTAGGTCTGTGGTCCCAGAGCGTAGGGTGGGACCCCAGGAGCCGGGAACGGGTCACAGCGAGGCTTATCCCAGCCCGGTGCAGGAAGGCATCCTCCCAGGCAGAACTGGAAAGGGTTTCACGGCCTGGAGGGGCTTCTGCCTCTGAGGACACACAGGCAAGGGCTTGGCCTGCACCTGCCGGATTTGCAGTGGCCAGACTACATCCGTGGATAGGGATCAGCTTCTGTGACGTATGATATTTCTTCTGAGCTGGAGAGTCATGATTCTAAGTTCCGTGCCATCAGCCCCCAAATTCTGGGCCTGACAAGCCTCCGTGGTGGGTGAGGGGGTGGCACATGGGAGGGGTACTGCATCCCTGGGAGAACCACCCCCTCAGCCCCTCTGAGCCTTGGAGCTCAGGCCTCCTGCCCTCTTCCCAGCTTTGGGGCTTGTGTCCTCTCTGGATGGTGGAACCTGGGGTTCTCTGGGCTGCAGCCTTGGGGTGCGACCAGGGCCCTGGCGCAGGCTTGGGCACCTTCTTGGTCCTGGTGTTCCTGGGGGCCCAGGGGCAAGGGCTAGTGCCCAGAAGGGTGTGGAGTCAGACCAGCGTGGTGCAGTGGGGTGGTTGCTGCCTGTGTGTGATCCCGAGACCAGACTAAGAGACCTCGGCCTGCCGTGTGCGTTCTTTGTCGTGAATGCAGAGGAGATGCAGGGGAGAGCAGGACGGAGCGGTGTGGTCTGGGATAGGTCACAGCACAGGGGCCTGCAGTGCACAGTCCTTACGTGTGCACCTGGTTCCGTGCCCCAGGAGTCCTTAATGTGGGTGGATAGGAAGAGTCACAGTCGTGAATGACGTCACCAGGGCTAGAGCAAGAGCCTGTAGGTCACCAGCCAGGGGCCTGCTGGACTCACAGAAGCCGGCCCAGGTCTCCCTGGCCAAAGAGCCTCTGCTTTCTGATTTCAAACCAGGACTGGCATGTGGGCCCGGAAGGCATGAGGGCTTTACTCACCACAAGCTCAGCTGTGCAGGAATGCGACTTTATGCTTCTTCCAGCACGTGGTCTCACGGGTGACATTGACCCCGTTCCGTCCAGTGGCAGCACATAAGTGTGGCCACTTTATTTATTTATTTATTTTGAGTTGGAGTCTCACTCTGTCGCCCAGACTGGAGTGC